GCTGCCCTGGCATCCTGAGGGGCTCCCGGCTGCCTGGGGAGGCCTGGCCGAGGCTGGGCTGGGGTGCAAAGAGGGAGCACGTCTCCCCCACCCTCTCTCTGTGTCCCTAGAGTCAACCCCCAAGTCCAGAGCAGCACCAGCAAGTGGCTCTGCAAACGTGGTTGACTCTTCCTCCGGTGAGTCAGCCTGCTGAGGCTTTAAAGTGAGGTCCTCTGCATGCTTCTGGAATGCCCTGATTCAGTTGGCCAACGCCTCTTGCTCCTTGGAAAGCTTGGGAAAGGGAATGAGTGGCCTCAGAAGGGCAATCGGGTGGTTCAAGTTTACAAAAACATCCCCTTGCACAGTTGGTGTGGAGACAAAGGAATATAGAGACCATAACCCCAGCGGCTGCGTCCTGTCACTTCCCTGTCACTGCAGGGAGGGATTTAAGGGCAAGTAAGAGCAGTGGGTGAATGAACTAACAGTTGCTGAGCTAGAAGCTGCAAGGACTTTCTGTAAGCCTTTCTTGCCGGGAGCTTTTCAGAATAAGCAGGGCTCCAAAGTGCTCATGGGCTCCATGGGATCAATTAACGCAAATAGCACTGGCAGAATTTGGCTCCCTGTTGCTGATGGAACAATTTCAGTGAAAGCAGAGGAAGCTGCCACTGTATTTGCTTAGAGGATGTGATTACTATCAGCTAGTTGATTTATTGCTGAACGGGGCTGCACGAAGAGTGCTGCAGAAGGCACGTGCAGGCTGCCCACTGAGCCCCGGAGCCCCATCCCCAGCTCTGCCTTCCTCGCTCCGGTCTGTGATTGGGAAGTCATTTTTCTCTTTAAATTCCAAGTGCCCAGAACGTAAGTAAACGCCAGCTTCCAGACTGCAAACTTTCTCAGAATGGATGCTTTTTACAGGGTAATTGGCAGCTGATTGACTCCAGGATTGTTTCTGGTTTGCCTGTGTGGCAACGTGTGCGCAAGTCGCCGGAGCATGACATTAATGTTCACACAGCCAAGTGGCTGAGCTGAGTTTAGTGCCTCGTCCTTCAGTTTAAACCGACTACCCGCGTCTTGAACTTGAAGGCAGCAGGTCTCATGCTTCTGTGACACCAAGCTTTTAAAAAAGAAAACAACCCAGCAAAGTGACCTTGGGCTGTACTTTCCTGCTAAAGCTGACATTTGTTTACTTCTGCTCTTCATTAAATCTTAAAATGCAGCTGCCTTAGCTCTGTGTAAACGCATGTCAGGAAGGCAGCAACATTTCCACAGGCATTGGGGAAGTGATGTTTCAAGGGAAGGAAGATCACATGGCTGTGCACTGGGATTTGGAGTGGTGAAGGGCAGTAGAACTCATACACGGGCTGGACTATGAAGCAGCTTTTTCCACCTGTCAGTAGATATATTACTGCATCTTGAGTTTGTGTGACATTTCGTTTCTGCACAAGCCTCTGGAGCAATTGCTGGTGGTGTCTGGTTCTCAGCTTCGAAACCAAATCAAGGAATGCATTGTCCCTGGCCTTCAGGGAAAGTCATTCTGTTTAGGACTGGAGTCTTGAGCAGGAGCAATGGATCAGGAGCAACATGCATGTTCTTATTTTTAAGACTGAAAACAGTAGAAGAGAATTTTGAGCACCTACATTTTGTCCTGGAGTTGCTAATTCTCAGAGAGAGAGTGGTCTGAGAGATGCTGAGATGTAAGAGTCTGTGTGAGGACTAACCCCACAGGTGATGTTGTGTGTGGGTGGAGTGGCAAAAGGGTCTGTTTTGGTTTTGTTTATACTTCACTTATTTTTAATGACATTTTACCACCAGTAAATGTTACCTACCACCTGTATAATTTTCTTTATTGTCCAGTATTCATCAAGAAAGAAAATGCCAACAAGTTCTTGGAAAGAACAAAACGTGCTAACTCTTTTTTGGAGGAAATGAAACAAGGGAATATTGAAAGAGAATGCAATGAGGAGCGCTGCTCAAAAGAAGAAGCAAGAGAAGCCTTTGAAGACCAGGAGAAAACTGTAAATATAATCTAATATGATACATAGATTTATATATTTCTTGTTTACAAAATAGTGTTATGGTCTTTTGAGCTAGGCATCCAAACAACATGCAACAATAGTCTTAGTTTAGCTGTTGCAAAGCCAGCACTTACCAAAGCCTCTGTTCTTTTACCTGTTCTGATCTGTTCAGTTGCCATTGTGAGGTAGTTTACCTTCAAATGATTTGATACCACTCATGTTAGAAATATGTTCACCCTTTCTAGGTGGCATAGCTGAGTCTCATGACTGTGATCAAGAGTTCTTAGGTAGAGAGTACATGGAAAGGTTGAGAAGGCAAATGCTGACATAGAACTTCATGGAAGAATTTTGTCAAGCTTTTCTGAAGCTGCTTTGCAGTACTTACCACGTTATGGCTCTCTCTCAGTACCTGAACTGACAGAATGTGTACTGTGGACAGTTCTTACGTGGCTTAAAGCTAAATGGCCCATATGGAATGAAGTTTGTTTGTGTGACTCTTGTGTCACCCTCCTTACCCTGGTGGCTGCTTAACTTTAGACAGAAATGTGATCTGTTCCCAAGCTCAAGGAGGGATTAAAGATGTGGGGCAACTATGGGATTGGGGTGAGTGAAAAGGTGAAGGGGGCCTACAGGAGAGCTGGGGAGGGATTATTTACAAGGGCATGTAGCAGCAGGACAAGGGGTAATGCCTTTAAACTGGAAGAGGGTAAATTTAGGTAAGACTTTAGGAAGAAATATTTCACCATGAGGGTGGTGAGACACCAGCACAGGTTGCCCAGAGAAGTTGTGGCTGCCCCATCCCTGGAAGTGTTCAAGGCCAGATTGGATGGGGCTTGAAGCAACCTGGTCTAGTGGGAGGTGTCCCTGCCCACAGCGGGGGGTGTTGGAACTAGATGATCCTTAAAGTCCCTTCCAACCCAAACCATTCTGTGATATGATTCTATGATAATTGAAAACTTGAAGTGACTTGGTGGCAGAAGGGAACTGGGAACATCAGCTGTAGCTATGTGGCTGTTAAGAACTACCCTGAGAATGGAGATAAGATCAGATTAATTTCATTTCAGCATTACTTGCTCGCCAGAATATTCTTGGAGCAACCCTGAGATGACCTGGGTGGGGAGTCATGGGGTGCATCACCAGGGTACTTCAGAGCACAGAGGCTGGGTGATCTATAGCAGAACCAGCACAGCCTGTTTGTTGTGCACGGTTACCAGATGTCACTGAAGGGACTGTTTTGGACAGACAACATACCTGAAGTCCTCAGCGCAGAGGGAAAGAAGAACACAAATCAGACAAAATATTTTTACATCTCAGGATTTCTGAAGGTCCTGATTGGTGCGGGAGGGAGACCGAGAATTTGGCATTGCAGGAATGTGAGTAAATTCAGTCAAAACTGATGGAAAGATACAGTTAGGCAAGAAACCAAGTGCCTTATGCTGAGTGAGTCCCTTTAGGAAATCTCTGAGGAGTTTTAGATATTTCTGAAAAATGCAGGAGCCTTAGGCACTATAGATGGATTGCATGGTTTTAATTTATTAAATGGCAACAGTAGGCAGCTGTATGGCAGTCTGTGTACCTGTAACTTAGGTATTTGTTTTAACAACCATTAGCTGCAAGTATCCTCTGTATGAAAAATACTTTCCTGAAGAATTCAATAATTCTCATCTAACTCTTTTCATTTCCCTTTTTCCCCACACCTACCTGCAGGAGGAATTCTGGAACGCCTATGTAGGTAAGAAGCAATCTGCTTTTGTTTAGAGAATTAAGCTTCCTTACTGCAGGGTTAAAAAGGATGCACTTCTTAAGTAACCACTTCCTGCTCCTTCTTTCCTGTCATTTCCCTGTGGGACACCTTCGCTTTGTGTTTCCTCTGAAGAAGGAATCTGGCTGATTTAATGCCTTGCTGTTTCTTGAAACCAGTGACTTCATTCAAAGGCAAGGTTCAGCTGCCTCCAATGCCTGGGAAGATCTTTGTCTTCTCAAAAAGAAGAGTGGCCCTTTGTAAACAAAGTGAGAAGCAGAAACTGGATATGTGACTCTGCTGGTCGGTTGTCCTCCAGAGGGGCAGCCCCAGATGATGGAATCAAGATGCAAGAGTCATAGATGAGGGTGGTGCTTAAATGCTATAGGTCAATACAAAGCATCTCCCAGTCCCTTGACAGTGTCTTGTCACCTTCCATGCTAGAGTATTGTTGATTCCTGTATTTTAGAACATTTTGTGGGATGGGTTTTCTACAGAAGTGTTTGGCATTCAAGTAAGACATGCCAGTAGATTAGCAGTTACTACCATCAGTTTTTATGTTGG